TATAATTCTTCGTATTGTTAGCCGACACTGGGCAGCTGGTACATAATTGAATATAGTTGTTTAAACTAAAATATTAGTGTTATACACTCTTCTAATTCTTGATAATCCGTAAGGGACTACATTATGAATGTGGTGTTAAAAATATAATAGGCCTAACATAATGTCTTACGACAAATATAATTAATTATATCATGCTTCGCCAGCCTCTAAAAGGCGTTCACACCATAATAATTGTTGTTCTAACAAATAGTCTATATAAATAGTATTCCGATCACAATTGTACTCTTCGTATCCCAGCCGACATGAAGAGCTCTGGATTGAGCGAAACTCATTGCTGGCTATGAAGACAAATATAGTGTGGTGTAAATACTATTGTTATACACTATTCTACTCCTTGATAATCCATAAAGGACTAGATTAGGAAAGTAGTCTACAAATGTCAATGGGCTTAACATAATGTCTTACGCCAAATATAATTAATTATATCATGCTTCGCCATCTTCTAAACAAACCATAACAGCTATTCTATAAATTATTGCGCCCCCCAGTGGCACAGCGGTATGTCTGCAGACTTACAACGCTAGAAACCGGGTTTCGATACCCGTGGTGGGCAGAGCACAGATAGCCCTTGTGTAGCTTTGTGCATAATTAAAAACAAACAAACAAATCTATAAATCATTAGACCGCGAATGATTCTAAACATGTATGGTTTCTTTTTGACACATAACTATTTTTAAATCCAAGGAAATATACTGCCATTTGTATATAATAGAATATGTTATTTCTTTAAATATCAAACTGATTAATCCTATCCTGTAGAGGTTTGATAAAATATATAATTTAGTGGCATAAGCAATAATTCTAATTTTTTAATGTATCGCCTTTAAATTCTTATATTGTAAGGATACCACATCTGAGGCATCATTATTCGGACCAAAACACTCCTTGTTATATAATATATATATACTATTCTTATGAATAAAAATAAAATATTATTTAAAAAAATTTTTAACTTATCTACTAAACTTTTCGAGTTTTACAGCTCAGCTGTCTTTAGAATATGGGCGGATTTTATTGGATTTACGCCACTAAATTAGTATTTGATTAATAATGCTCAAAATTATGCATTTTAGACTATTAAATATTAAGAATACAGAATACAGTCAGAACACGATATCTGTAATATATTTTTATCTTTTGCACTACAAATAATGTATTTGAGATTAATTTAAAACTGAAATATTTTAGAAAGATGAATTAAAAAACAAAATTAAATAGTATATTTTTCTTACGATTCACAACTGGCTAAAATATATAAGACGATATAATAATTTAAATTAGTCGTCGAAGTTACCACATTTTATATCTCGAGATTTCGTCCATCAGAAACATGTGAAATGTGCATGGGTTGCTTTTGTCCTAGCATTCTAGCTTAATTGAATAAACATTAGAGACGTGAACATGCCATGATCACCTGAATAATTTTGAATTTTTTGTTTTGTTTTTGAAAGAGTGAATATTCCTTGCTTAATACACGTACATCCTGTATGCATAATATATGAACATATAATAGCACCACATATAGACATTTCTGTAAGAAATTATTTTAAGAATTAGAAAATTCAAGTGATTATAGAAATCTCCGAAAGTTATTTAGAAGTCGTCTTGTAGGCTTTTCTCAAGTACTTTCTGATTTTTCCACCAATTTCTCTAACGTTTAAAAGTCAGAATAATAATTATAGAAATTCAGACATTTTAAAAAGAAAATCAAGTACCCCTATAGAGGTTTTCTCTGGGAAAATTGGTTAGTGCTATGGAAGAATTTTAATTAGTTAGTTTGTTTTTAATTATACACAAAGCTACACAAGGGTTATCTGTGCTCAGCCCACCACGAGTATCGAAACCCAGTTTCTAGCGTTGTAAGTCCGCAGACATACTGCTGTGCCACTGGGGGGGCTAAGAATTTGAGAACATTTGTTTACAAATAGAACATGATATCTTTCAAAGTTGCTTTTGATAAATTAAAAATGTTTGTTTCTACACAAACAAATAAAGCAAATACGTTCATATATAATTAAAATATGTAACAGAAACTATTTCTAATACTGTTACTTTTATACCCATTCATCCTAAATTGTGGAACACAAGCTTATCGTTTACAGAGTCGTAATTAATAGTTTAGTTACTAGAACAAACATGTATCGGTTTCTTGCTGATGGGTGTATGGGAGGGAAAATTTTGAATTTTGAAAGATAATAACTTAAACGTTAATAATGTTATTATTTGGGATGAGGCTGGAGGGAAGTAATGTAGTTAACTACATTATTCAACGAAGGCAGTCTTAAAGTTAATAATAATGTTCTGCCTTTAGATTTAAAGAATATTCAAAGCATGTTCCGCATCTCAAAGCCATATAAATCTGGGAGAAATTAAGTAATGGTCCAAATACCAGACCACATCAAAAGAGCAAGCATTACGTTGCTCAAACTATAACCATAAGAATCAACAGCAAGTATATATTTCAGGAGCAGAGAGATGTTTAACAAATGTAACAAAGATTTTTTTGATACCGATATACCAAAAATGGAATTCGCTCAGATACAAAAGAGTCGCATGATCACACGCCCACTCTATAAAACACGATACATGATCTAAAACTTACTTTTCATATAGGATATTTTATGTTTCAAATGTAAAAAATAAAATATATACTTAAAAAAAAGACTCCTGTGGAACTCTTGACTTTGTATGTATGTATATATATTTATATATAAGAAAGCTACAATTTTTTTTATAAAACGGATTACATCAAAAGGAAGGACAGTGTATCCAAACCGTAGATGAAATATAATTAAATGTAATTTTATGGAGAGAGAAGGAAAAAGAAAACAAAATTTCAGCCACAAATCAAACATCCAGCGCCGTGGCACTAATCGTAATGTGGGTCATAATGCAATGTGCCCCGGTTTTTTGAGGTACCAGCAGAAGTAAGACCCGAATTGCGTTGTGGGTACGCCGTCTATCCAGTTTAACCTCAACTTCAACGCCCCTCACATGCTTAGAAGAGAGAGACGAGCAGATATTGGTCCTCTAGCCCACAACATCCCACCTTTCGTTATCTGTAGCCCAGATGTGAGATGGTGGTTGCTCAAAAACATATAAAGAAGTCTGCTGTGTCTACCGATGAGAATCGACCCCTTGATTTTAACATTGTAAATCCGTAGACTTAGCGCTGTTTTACCAGGGAATAGTTAGAATGCAAAGACAATGAGGTAGACAGCAAAACTGTCCTTGAAGTTAACATTCAGTCCCCAATATGATGTTTGGACATAAATACCAAGATGTGTAGTATTATTATATTAAGCCCAACCTAAATTATTAGTATAGCTTTCATCCTTCACCCTTCCATGCTACTATCTGGATCGTCAATAGTTTTAGCGTTCCACGCATTACCAGGTTTTATATAGGGAATGTGATATAATTACATTCATTCACCTATTTAAGGTATGAAATGTCTAAATAAATAATTTAAATTATTTTCCCTACAATAAATTTTAGAAATTATTTTTCATTGTGTATATTATAATTTTGTTTAGATTACTATTTAGAAATCTATATAAATACTTTTGTATTTATTATAAAAATAAGTTAAAATAGTAAATGAAAGTTTTCAAATAAAATCCTTTAAAAATTAATCTATATATTAATATAAGTTATTAAAAACTGAACATTACTACAAGTTCTACAATGCCTAAGAAGCTGCGAATGTATAATACACTGTATGGCATTTGTCAGTACATTACTGTTTGGAGATGAAACTCCAAAAAATTGAAATGTGAAGTCATTGCTTTTATCATAAATATTAATATTACTATAATTATTAATTATCTTAATATCTAAGTCTAAATAATGTGCTTCAGTATTTGATATAGAAGTGTTCTCCATCTCTCGAACTGTAGGAAAAATGTTACCTATGTAATTAATTGTTACAGGATTATCAATATTAATTAAATTGTCAGCATATCTATATGTTAAGAAAAATAATTCCAGATTTGAAAATTATAGATATTTTTTTTCGTAATAATAAAGATATAAATTAGAAACACAGCTTCAATAGTTAGAAATCATCGGTATATCTACTATTTCTTTATAACTGTGCTTATCAAAATGATATAATTATTGTATATGCTGAAATAGAATGTATATATATATATATTTATATTATACATTACGTTACTAATCCACCTACCACTCCACATAT